ACTAGGTGCACGTTCATTCTTCCCGTGTGTGGACAAAACGAAGGTAGTCAATAAGGCTGAGCTGGTTAGTAAGGCAACCGTACTACACCGCAGTAGTCTAGGTAGGCACACAAAGGACTTTGCCTACACTGGATCGAGCAGGCATGGATGCTCAAACACTGTCTAGGAGAGCAGGAGATTATTTCGAGCAAACCTGAGGCCTTGGTGCAGATGTGGTGAATGTGTGGTCCTAACTTACATGACAAGTCAACAAAACACCAAGGCCTCTTTTGGTTAGACTTCCAGAACAGGCTGCCACCGAGTAAATATTCAATATTCAGATAAATTTGTTTATGCTAAAATGTATCAACTTATTCTTGGTGGGATTGACATCATATTATTTTTGGACTTTGGACAACATCATCAACGAGATACTCATTAATGACCACCTGCATGGAGGGATTAAAATCCCACAAGTTTTATATCATGAGCAAACTAAAGAAAAGAGCTTTTGACAACACTCTTTATGTCATTAATGAATATTGAGATCAGAAAACATCTGACATTTTTTGGATGTTTTCAAGTTTAATTATAAAGAAATCCAAATTCACCCTATAAAACCAAATAAAAGCCAGTTCACATGATCTAATCAAGACAGTAAAATTCAACCTGATGAGGGAGTGTTTATTGTATTCAACCAAAGTACAATTACGGAGCTTTATCCTTAGCAACATTAGAACTACATCGGAATCTGTATTGGAAATTTTCTCTGTATGATAACCCATTATTAAACAATAATATAGGGTGGAGTATGATAAATCAAAAATAAACACAACAATAATATTTCTAACAAATAGTATTTGTTTATTAACTTTTTTTTAAAAAACCTTCAGTTGGTATGTGGGATTTGGAAGTTTTCAGAGAAAAAAATACAACAAAACTCATATTTACCCCATAACCCTCTATGAAAGCCTGTTCTCATCATCTGGCTAGGATGCTTTCACTTTTCATGCTAGATAAGTCTTCACTCTCTTAACATCCAGTCATATCAAAAGTGGAGTTTCATGAACAGTTTAGTCGCTTTTGAATTCATCCCGGGATGATAATTTTCCCTATAGCATAGAGGAATTAAAGACATGATATAATAATTTGTTTGTTTTTAAAATTTTTTTAACACATCCACTAAACCCACGGGATTTTGAGGTTAAATCCCCTGTGAAAGCACGTTCTCATGGTCCAGCCAGGATGCTTTGTGTAACCCAATTATGTGTCCAATCTCTTACATACAATCGTGACAAAAGTGGGGTTTTATCAACAGTAGTCACTATACATTTCATGGGATATTACTTTTACCTATACTACCACCATAAACCTTCATCGGGGGAAGACACAATAATATACTACTTTGTTTTTAAAGCTCTTTTGAACACACCCAATAAACCCAAGGAGTATAGGTTTTACATAATTACTAAAACTCATATTTGCCCCATACGGTGATACTTTGCTCGTGATGCTTTTTGAAACTCATCATATTGGATATGTATTTACTTTTGTACACCCAGTTTCCTCCTAAGTAGGGCAATAAGTGTTGTTGCATTAAAATAACAGTGAACCCCTTTTAGCGAATTTTCATATAGGGATGTGTAGCTTTAACTATAGGTGGTACGGTAAGACCTGGAGCTTGGACCGATATACTTTTTCATTTTGATGTCCCTAGAAGACAAATTTTCCACAGGACAAGTTCAGAGTAGCCAATTTATGTAATAATTTAGCTTCATATAATTGGCAAGACTTGTTATTTAAATTTGATTATATGGAATCGGAAACTAACATATTACTTAATAATTTATAGAGCTCAAAAAAACAAATAATTTAGTATACCGAAGCTTTGTTATGCGCCTAATAGTTACGGAGAAAACTACAAATAATTGTAAATTTAAAATTACCATGTTATTATTATGGAGAATAAATAAAATGATGTATGTAGTTTGATTGTTTATGACCATATTTTGAACAAATTTGGAAAATGCATTTATTTTATACTAAACTATTACCATTTTACAAAAAAAAAAAACTTTTACCCTCCCTGTTGCATCAAAACTAAGTACAGTACTTGTCAAACTAATGCTATTTAAATAGGTAGGGAATAAATCTGATAATTTTAAGGAGATATTCTAGTGTGAATCCAATCAGGCAAATGGAAATTAGCTTAGTCTGCAGGTTTGCTATGGCGGGGGTATTTATTATTTAAAACGATCCCGGTTATGCCTTCGGACATCCAAATCTAATCATGACAGACAGACAGACAGAAAGCTAAGTGAGATAGGAAGTATCTAATTAAAAATATATATATTTATATATGTAGCCTATCACCATTTATAAGCATTTATAAAATTTGTCCTGTAACAATCTATATAAATAAAATTAGAGTTTTGTCTGTACATTGCTCAGAATCATAAATTTTTAGGTTATTTTTACGTTTTATACATTAAGGAAGCCAAAACAAGTCTCATCTAAATTTCTGTCTGTCTGTCTGTCTGTAACACTCAAGATGGCATTTTACCCAATCTTCTCCAGGAAAACGAGAGTACCTATCAAGATCCAAGTCATTTTAATGTATTCACTGGATTGGCAAGAGTGTCTTTAGCCATTAAAATATGGCCTCACTACTTTGTAAATAAAATTACGGACGTTCAAAAATGCAATTTTGTGCGATTTTTGTCAAGTTTTCAACTAATTTTCATCACATAATCATCTATGAAATAATGAACAGCTGTTCGGATCAAGATTATTTTTTCTAGCTGTCACTGATATGTTTACAAATATCGCAACCATTTCCGATCACGTTTGAAGGCAAATCCCATCCAAGTGAGATTAAAAACGTTTTTCTTACATACTGTAAAGGATTTAATTAATCGCCAGTGGAATAATATAGTGTAACCGTAAATTACATTAAATAACTAGGCATCATCCAGGTCAGGAACCAGAGATTCTTTGTGTATAAAATTGTTCTGGAGTTTTGATAACCAGAAAGAAGACATTGAATCAGTGTTGTATACGGCCGGGAAACTTAAATTTATTTATGATCATCGCCAATAGCTTAGAAACAAGGTTCCACTCATTGACGGCGCTTCAATGGCGGTTGTGTAAAGTGTAAAGTAAAAAATCAAAACTGCAGTGGGTGATTGTAACAGAGGTTTTAACTGACTATGATAAGAACCCCGTGCGTAGAACGGGCACACAGCTAGTCAACAATACAGGACAAATTTTGATTGTTTTGATCCAAATAATAACTTGTTAAAGTTTGCGTCAATAATTTTTGGACATTCTGTATAAGGATTCCATAGAAAATGTATGCTTAGCTCAACAATGGCAGGAACTAGTCCAAATAATGCATGAGCTACGTTTTATTGTATTGCACAATTGTTTAATGGCAGACTTGACAAGACCACTAGAATTCTCTAAAAAAATTGACAAATTAAATTATTATTTGGGAGGGGGAGGGTAGTCCAGAAGGTAAAATACGTTTGGCATTGGCGATGCTTGGGACAACGCTAACACTACTATTTTAGTATCAGAGCGTTCAAATCCAGCTATGGGAGCATGCGGCACATAATATCTCTCGTACTTTATCTGCAATGGTGTGTTAAAATGATTGATGTCATAGCACTGTCTGGTGGTTTGTGTGGGGGGCTAAGTGTAGATTTTTGTTTGCTAAGTTGTTCTTGCCAATTGAAAATTATTGCAGATTTGGGATTTTTATGGCAAAAGAATAATGCGTGAAGGCACTGGTTTCCACTTGTGTGGTAATATTGCAAGATCTAGGTTAGGTTAATTGTATTGTATAGGAAGTGAGGATTGATTTAGTTTTGTAACCTTGGCATGATTGATAAGCTTGTGTTCATCATACATAATTAGTAGTTGTCATCATTTCAATACAATTTTGTTGGTAACTGCTATAACTATACTGTGTTTACAAAATGTAGGCGGTTATTGGAGGAAGAAATCTACCCCCTCTTAACCTTCCTGTAAAATAATAAGCTCAACAGCTGAGGTATACAAAAACAAAACATAAATCAGCTGAGCCATATGTATTAAGGAAAAATAACCCCGCTGCAGCAAACCTGCAGACTTACCCAATAAATATTTTTTGGACACCTTGTACAATGCTTATTTAGATTACATTAATAAATTTCAATTGCTTTTAGCGAATTTCCTTATTGGGAAGTAGCTATTACCGTAGGCCTCATGGTAAGGCTTGAGCCCTGGACCGATTTACTTTTTTATTTTGATGTCCCCAGAGTCCAAAAACACTATTCGTTCAATTTTTTATATATGTATGAATATATATATATATGTCCGTGAACACAATAACTTGAGTAATTTTTGTCCGATTTTGACGAAATTTGGTTTAAAGGTGTAAGGCGGGAAGGTGGGAACAAGATTTTACAGGGGTTTTTATGGGGTAAAAATTGGGTTTTCTCATTTTTGACCCTCAAAGCACAAAATTGTTTTCCAATTTACTTATTTTTAGGGATTTTTTAAAAAGCTTAAAAACAAATAGTTTAGTATATCAAATTGTTTATTTACAATTATTGGTAACAGAGAAAATTCAAAAAAATTAAATTTAAAATTCTCATGTAATTGTTATCGAGAATGTTTTTAAATGCTAGCAAATTTATTTATTTTATACTTAGCTATTGATATTTTACTAAAAACAAATTTTATTATAGTTCGGCCGCTTAGAAAGCGACCTCCTCCAGCATTGGTTTAGCATTAGCGCGCAGGTCGTTTTCTAAGCGGCCGAACTATAGTTTCCTTGTAGAACCAAACCTAGGTACTTCTTAACCCTAATGTTATTTAAATAGATTTAATTGAAAATCAATTTAGACAAATGGAAACTCACTTAGTCGGGGCAGGTTTGCTGCGGCAGGGGTATTATGATACAAAATTTGAACAAAAAATTACGTAAATGTTTACAACAATATTGTATATATTTAATAAATTATGGTCTTTTTCAGAATACGCAAAGTGTTGAAGAGAAAAATGAACTTCAATTCATGTCACACGAAAGATAATTTACAGAATAACATGTAATACTTTAAACAGCAGCTATTCAGATTTAGTTTTCTACTACACAAAAAGTATTACTTAAAAGAAAAAAGAAATTAATAAATAAAGTAAAGTAAGTAATTCACTATGTAAAACTTGAATTTAAATTATAATTAACATTGATATAGCTGATTGAATATTGTTTGGAAACAAAATGGAAAATAAGCCACGATTTCTTAAGGAGGCTTATTTAACATGATGGAACATAAAGTCAAGCCAAAAAACAAAATGCCTTGAGTAAGCTATGTGGTGTGATATTTAATACATTGAAAATAGCATACAAAGCCAACTGAATAGTTCCAATTAGTTACTAGCTCGCCTGATGCTAGAAATCAGAATATAAAACAAAAAATGTTTAATATCACTAAAATGCCTCTCCTTAACTGTCCAATATGTAGAAAAATGTTTTCAAATCCAAGGAATATGAAGTATCATATATATTTACACACAGGTGAACGTCCCTTTAGATGTTTGACATGTGAGAAAACATTTATTAGAAAATCTCAGGTAAAAAATCATTTGTTTACACATTCTGGGAAGTATCCTTACAAGTGCACTACTTGTGGAAAATCCTTCAAAACTAGCAGCGAGATGAAGATTCATACATTGGTTCACACGACAGAGCGACCTTATAAGTGCACTACTTGTGGAAAATCCTTCAAAAGAAAGAAAAATATGAAGCAACATACATTGGTTCACACAGGAGAGCGACCTTACAAGTGCATTACTTGTGGAAAATCCTTCAAAACTAGCAGCGAGATGAAGATTCATACATTGGTTCACACGACAGAGCGACCTTATAAGTGCACTACTTGTGGAAAATCCTTCAAAACCAGCAGAAATATGAAGAGACATACATTGGTTCACACGGGAGAGCGACCTCATAAGTGCACTACATGTGGAAAATCCTTCCAAACCAGCAGAAATATGAAGAGACATACATTGGTTCACACGGGAGAGCGACCGCATAAGTGCAGTATATGTGAAAAATCCTTCCAAACCAGCAGCGATATGAAGAGACATACATTGGTTCACACAGGAGAGCAGCGACCTCATAAGTGCACTATATGTGAAAAATCCTTCCAAACCAGCAGCGGTATGAAGAGACATACATTGGTTCACACAGGAGAGCAGCGACCTCATAAGTGCACTATATGTGAAAAATCCTTCCAAACCAGCAGCGGTATGAAGAGACATATATTATTTCATCTGGAAGATACATCAGAAATAGTTGCAATATGATGTTTCATACATTAATTAATTACTAGGTGAATCCGGTCGAAATCGACGGTTACTCATGACGTTTTACGTAAATTCAGGTAACTGCGATGGATAGAGGGAAGTTATTAAAATCTTAGTTAAATGAAGTGAGGATAAACATAATTATGAGTAAGACGATTGTGTACCTTAAAAAACGTGGTTAATGAATTCGTTGAATTCAATATTTTTTCTGTCCTTTCATCGGCTTGAGGTTGCCCAAAAGGCTTTTCAGGAGTCTTACAATTGTTTCTTGTTCATGACTTTTGTTCATATTAAAGCCTTTTTCACTATATGGGGAAAGGAGTTCATATAACGGTCTATCATCTGACGGAAAGAGTCAATATTACTAAAATAACTTGTTCCATCTGCTTTAGGAAAATCATTCAGATCATATTTGGATTGTATAAGTGAATCACCATCTTTGGTCATAAAAATACAGAATTTTATTAGGGGGAGGCATATTAAATCTGTTTTTTATTTGATAAAATTATCTGATTCTCCAGAAAGCAGTTCGTGAACTGCAGTGAAGTAACATTCTTACTTCAATGGGGGTCTAAACAATTTTGATTCTCTTGCCACATCGACCAATGTATTTCATCATCATGTACTTATTTGCTAATTGATTAACCTCTGACGTAGTTTTGTGAAATTGTGCCATGAGGTTGCTGTCAAAATTGAACTTTATTGATATGCTAGGGGCAATTGCCTTGGCCGTATCAATCACAAAAAGTTGTGCATGTATTTTGTGGATGGGATGGACCATAATTGTACAGTAGACTACCTCTTATCCGGACTCCTCGGGACTGAGACCAGTCCGTATAACGGTTTTTCCGGTTAAACCCCAAAAACTCATTAAAACGGACTGTTTAAATGCGTATTTGACTTAAATTTAGGAGAGCATTATATTTAGACACAAGTTTACTGGTCTCAAATTTTTCCCACGAGAATGGTCATTTCAGTACCGCCCACTTCCTGCCGATCTAGCCCAGTTAAGATGTGCTGATAAAAATTGTCCGGTTAAAGAGATGTCATTTCCGCCGAATGTAGTTCGGTTAAACCGATGTCCGATTAAAAGGTGTCCGGATAAAAGGGAGTCTACAGTAGTGAATTTGGCCACAAATCTTGAACCATTTGCGGAACCCGGAACCACATCCATAACCTAGTCCGGCTTTGTTGGCAACATATTATGCAAATGAAATGAGATGTGATGGCAGTGTTTTATTTCCTAATGTTTTGTATGTAGTGAGGTTTACATGCGTTGTTCAACCTAGCTTGATGTGTACATCAAAGTAAAAACCCTGTAGATTTTTTTTTAAATACCACCTGAGTTGCTTTTAAATCAACTTCTTCAGCAGCATATACTTATGACACAAAAACCATAGATTTAACATACTCCGTGGTTAGTCTCTGCCAAAACTTGAATACAGCTCACATCTTCAACGTACTACTCTACACTTGCATGGCTTTTATTGTATGACACAATTTTCTACCCGATTATCGAAAACTTTTAAGCTAATAATCTCACAAACCTCTTACGATTTTTCTTGAATGTAATAATAAATGATTATTGAAAGTAGACCAAAAAAAGCAAACGCCAACCAATAAAATAAATATAAGCTAACCCGATAAGGAATAGTTATCTGTTCCTTTAAAATTGATATGTCCCACTGATTTCATAATACAATAATTTCTAAGTGCATTAAAACATAGATTTAAAAAAATAATAATAAAACGTATCATAAATTCATCATTTTATTCAAACTATAAAAAACAGATTCAGTAAATGCTCATTACAATTTTAATATTAACAGCTGTTTCATTAAAAAGAATTGGAAAATTATCCATATGGTCGTACTGTAAACAAATCTGCTGAGGGAACTTTAAAGGCCTCTGGGGCAGAGCCCCAATGAAATTTACATCGTTCCCCTTTTGATAGCTCATTTACAGATCAAGAACTTTAAAGACCCTTACCAAATTTCTACGCCCAGCCGTTCTCTCAAATTAGCTGTCACAAAGAAAAACAGTTTCAAATTAATATAGGCTATAAGATGTGTCAATTTCAAATCAAATTTTTGTGTTAATTCTTAAATTCTCTTATTATGAAAATAAAAAATGTCTCAGCATTTTACAGTCACTAATAATGTTTTTGCTACTTTCTGGTTAATTGCATTCATAAAGATCCATCAGATTTCGGGGTTCCTTGAGAAAAACACGTTACAAAAAATTCACAGATGCACTTACGTTAATGCTAAATAATCCTTCCCAGGAAGCTTATACACATCCATTGAATCCTCATCCTGAGTTGTATCAATTGTCAATGGTAGTATGTGTGGTGGTATTGTAAAAAACTAAGCTTTTGTTTATCAAATGTCTCACCTGTGACCTAAAAGTTTTTAAGCACATCAACTCTTAGGTATTTAAAGCTTACCATATTTATTCACTATTTAAATAACATTAGATTTAACGAGTGCTTAGGTTTGCTGCTACGGAGAAGGTAAAAAGTGTTTTTTGACCATACGTCAATAGTATAGGATGAAATAAATAAATTTGCCAAATTTTATCAATATATATCCATAAACAAGTAAACTACAACAATTTTCATTTTCTCCATAAGAATAACATGGGAATTTTAAATTACACTATTTTTGAATTTTCTCCGTGACCGTTAGGCATACAACAGCGCTTCAATATACTAAATTATTTCTTTTTTTAAGCTCTACAAAACGGTTTAGAAATAAATTGCAACATTTTTTGTTTTTAGGGTCAAAAATGGGAAAAACCCATTTTTACCCCATAAAACCCCCCCACAAACCCCCGTTCCCATGGTCCGATTATGCTGGATCGCGAACTCGTTCGAATAAATGTAGGTTTACACGTTAGTACCAAATTTCATCAAAATCGGATCATTTTTGCTCGAGTTATCGCGCTAACGCACACATATATATATATAAATATATATATATATATAAATATATATATATATATATATGAATTTGAACGGATGGTGTTTTTGGCCTCTAGGGACCTCAAAATGAAAAATTAAATCGGTCCCGGGTCCAGGTCTTACCATGAGTACTACGGTAATAGCTTATTCCCTATATGGGAAATTCGCTAAAAAGGCTGCCGGGATAGGCATGACCTTTTGCACACATTTGTAGTAGGCAAAAATATGGTGTTTACTGTCCAATGCTCCATGGCTAATAAAACGGCATAATATACAGCATTGAATGACACCCCTCCCTACTCGTGACAATAACTACAATAACTATAGTGCACATACTATCAGCTTAAAAATTGTTCGATTCGTTGGTATAACGCTTAGTTTCTTATAAGACATTTATGTATTAATAAAATATTCTTTAGGCTTTTTTATGTAGCCTACATATTATTCAGGGTGGATTAGAACTCTGTACTACTATCAATATTCTTTATGTGGAGCGGTGACTTTTTGTAAACATTTGGGCCTGAGATAAATGAAATTTCTTTAATCAATGGGTTTCAGGCTTAATATAACTCTTAAGTCAAGTGTGATGGGAATGAAAGGGTTGGGTCATGAATGAGGACAGATTTTCTTTAACCCAATTTGAAATTTCTTAAACATAGTGATCATAAAATGTTAAAACTGAAAATGTTTGAAAAATATTTTTACATGGAGTTTTACAACAGAACAATTTAATAAAATGTCAAGGTACTTTCCAGAGCTATTATCTTATTATTTTGTATTGCCTTGATCTAGAACACCCACTAATGTTAAGCTTTTGTTAATCGTTCAATTTTATGTACAATTTTATAAAAATAAATGTTATTTTTTGGGGGGTTGAACTATCCACACTTTTAGTACCTAGACTGGCTTTTGCAGCATTTCAGTAAAACACAAGAACTGTACAGGTTTAAAAAAATGTAGCATATTATGTAGTGTAGATTTATCAAATATTTGTACTGTATTATATTTTTAATGAAAATTAGAGATTGATTAATGCATTGAATTCATATTAAATCTTGAATTAGGATAAACCTACAATATTAATTAGATTTCTCACATGAACCAACTGATAATTTAATGTTTTGTATGTTTGTTAATTTTTATACGAATATTGAAAATAAAAAGGTATTGACTGCTTCACTGTTTGACTTAATTAAGCACTCTACTTGAACTGTAATCTACCTACCTAGTGATAATCCCTCTTCTTAAACAGACACCATTCACCCAGTTTCTATTCCTTAGAAAATGTACACTTAGCTCAACAAAGGCAGGAATTAATACATGAGCTACGTTTTATTGCATTGCACTATTGTTTATTGGCAGACTTGACAAGACCACTCATATTCTGTATTTTAGTATCAGAGCGTTTGAATCCAGCTATGCTAGCATGCACATAATATCTCTCATACTTTGTCTAGAATGGAGTGTTAAAATAATGGATGTCATTGCAATGTCCCGTGGTTTTTGTGGAGCTCCGTGTAGATTTTTGTTTGCAAAAATGTATAAGTCAATTGAAAATTATTGCCAGACTTGGAATTTTTATGGTAAAGGAATGATGAGTGAAGTTGCCACTTTTCTCGTAATCTTTAAAGTTCCAAGGTTTGTAAGCTTGGTGTGCTTGGTGTGATTGATAAGCTTGTGAATATCACACACTAATAGTTATCATTAATTTAATATTTTTAGTACCTCCTATAACTATACTGCGTTCTGAAAGTTTAGGCGGTTATAGGAGAAGAAATCTGTATAGAAGAGATCTGGGATATAACCGCCTCTATTTTGTGAACTCATAAACCTTATAAATTTAAATTTTGTGAACGTAATATAGGTGATCATTTTTACCCAAATCTTTGTTGAAATCCTCGACTTCCTAAATTATCTGGTCAAATTTGGCACAAAATCTAACATATTATGAACAAACATTAAAAGGGGTTTCTTGATCAATTAATAATCTTGATTCCTGGTGAATATTTTATTGACACCCGTTATCATTTTTAGCGAATTTCCCATATAGGGAATAAGCTATTACCGTAGTACTCATGGTAAGACCTGGACCCGGGACCGATTTTTTTTTCGTTTTGAGGTCCCTAGAGGCCAAAAACACCATCCGTTCAAATTCATATATATATATTTATATATATACTAGCTGTACCCGCGGGCTTCGCCCCGTTTAACTTCATAAGTGTTGGCATGGCTCATTCACGTCCTGGTTAAAGTTCGTTCGCTACGCTCACTCACCTTTAGGTTGGAGCTCGTTCGCTGCACTCACTTGCCTTCAGGTTAGCTCGTTCGCTACGCTCACTTGCCTCCAGGTTGAAGTTCGTTCGCTACGCTCACTCACCTTTTGGTTGGAAATTAGCTGTTGTCATAAATTAACAAACATAATAGTGCTGCACCCTGTTGTTAATCCTTGTAACTTTTATGCTATTGAGCATCATAGAACAGAACCAACTTGTTAAATTGAAACAGCTGTTAAGATTCATTAATTCATTTTAAATATGAAAAATCATAAGATTAACATGGGGAACTACAGAGCCACTGGGGCGGAGCCCGAAAGGGTTTTTGAGATAAGAATATGCTTTAATGTTAATCGGGAATGTGAGCTATCATCAGGCCAAATTTCAGCCCAATCCGTCCAGTAGTTTATGCGTGATTGAGCAACACACACACACACACACACACACACACACACACAAACATACACACAAACTCACAAACTTTCAGATTTATAATATTAGTAAGATATATATGTCCGTTAGCGCGATAACTCGAGCAATTTTGATGAAACCGATTTTGATGAAATTTGGTACAAACGTGTAAACCTACGTTTATTCGAACGAGTTCGCGAACCAGCATGATCGGACCATGGGAACGGGGGTTTATGGGGGCTTTTATGGGGTAAAAATGGGTTTTTCCCATTTTTGACCCAAAAAGCATAAAATTTTGCAATTTCTTTCTGAACTATTTTGTAGAGCTTAAAAAAACAAATAATTTAGTATACTGAAGCGTTATAATGCGCCTAATAGTTACGGAGAAAATTCCAAAAAATTGTAAATTTAAAATTTCCATGTTATTCTTATGGAGAATAAGTAAACTGTTGTAGTTTGCTTATTTATTAACATATTTTGCCCAAATTTGGAAAATGTTTTTATTTCTTACCAACTATTAACATTTTACATAAAAAACACTTTTACCCTCCCTGTTGCAGCAAACCTAAGTATGTTTTAAACTGATTCTTTTTAAATAGGGAATAAATGTGATATTTTTAAGGAGACATTTTAGTGTAAATCCATTCAGGGAAATGGAAATTCGCTTAGTCTGCAGGTTTGCTGCAGCGGGGGTATTATTACATACTTATTAGATTACATAAATTTCAATTGCTTTTATGATTCTAAATTTGAACAGAAAATTTAAATGTTTACAACAACTGTATTAATAAATAAATAATAAATAATAAATTATGGTCTTTTTCAGGATAGGAAAAAGATTTGAAGAGAAAAAGGACCTTCAATTCATGTCACAAGAAAGATAATTTCAAAATCAGTTGTAATACTTTAAACAGCAGCAAAACAGATTAATTTTTTACTACACAAAAAGTACTAATTACAGTAAGTAATTAACTATGTAAAACTTGAATTTAAATTATAATTAACATTTATATAGCTGATTCAATATTGTTTGAAAAAAAAATGGAAAATAAGGCATGATTTCTTAAGGAGGCTTATTTAACATGATAGAACATAAAGTCAAGACAGAAAGACAAAATGCCTTGAGTAAGCTATGTGGTATGATATTTAATACATCGAAAATAGCATACAAAGCCAACTGAATAATTCCAATTAGTTACTAGCTCATCTGGTGTTAGAAATCAGAAATATAAAACTAATAATGTTTAATATCACTAAAAAGCCTCTCCTTAACTGTCCAATATGTAGAAAAATGTTTTCAAATCTTTCGAAAATGAAGTATCATATATATTTACACACAGGCGAGCGTCCCTTTAGATGTTTGACATGTGAGAAAACATTTATTAGAAAATCTCAGGTAAAAAATCATATGTTAATACATTCTGGGAAGTATCCTTACAAGTGCATTACTTGTAGAAAATCCTTTAAAACCAACAGAAATATGAAGAGACATGCATTGGTTCACACAGGAGAGCGACCTCATAAGTGCACTACATGTGGGAAATCCTTCAAAACCAGCTGGTATATGAAGAGACATACATTGGTTCACATGGGAGAGCGACCTCATAAGTGCACTACATGTGGAAAATCCTTCAAAAACAGCACCTCTATAAAGAGACATGCATTCGTTCACACGAGAGAGCGACCTCATAAGTGCTCTACTTGTGGAAAATCCTTCAAAACCAACAAAAATATGAAGCAACATACATTGGTTCACACAGGAGAGCGACCTTATAAATGCATTACATGTGGAAAATCCTTCAAAACCAAGCAAGAAATGAAGGTTCATACATTGGTTCACACGGTAGGGCGACCTCATAAGTGCACTACATGTGGAAAATCCTTCAAAACCAGCAGCGGTATGAAGAGACATACTTCATCAATAATCTGTTGAATTTCCCTTTAGGGAAATTCACTAACTTTAGGACAAGTTGTATATGTATGTATGTATGTATATCTATATATCTAAAACATATATTGGGTTGTGAGCCAGCTATTTTATTTTTTAGTTTTATTAGCTTTAATTTAACATTTTGATTTCAGACTTTTTTCTTTTGATTTTAGTCCAGTATTGAATTTATAGATTTAAATAAAAAATGTACTGTAAAAAAAAGATGTATGCCAACCACGTAGACGGTTCTATGAACCATTACGGTTTAGTGCAAGTCATTGTGGCTTCCTGCGAGGAGCCTAGGTTTGTAAGGATTCTTTTTTTGTTTAATAAAGCACTGTTTTCATTTCATTTCATTTCATTTCATTTCATTTCATTCATTTCAATAATCTGTTGAAATTCAAATACCTCCGCCGTAGCAAACCTGCAGACTAAGCGAATTTCCATTTCCCTGAATGGATTTACACTAAAATGTCTCCTTAAAAATATCACATTTATTCCCTATTTAAATAGAATCAGAAAAACATACTTAGGTTTGCTGCAACAGGGAGGGTAAAAGTGTATTTTATGTAAAATGTTAATAGTTAGTAAGAAATAAAAACATTTTCCAAATTTGGGCAAAATATGTTAATAAATAAGCAAACTACAACAGTTTACTTATTCTCCATAAGAATAACATGGGAATTTTAAATTTACAATTTTTTGGAATTTTCTCCGTAACCATTAGGCGCATTATAACGCTTCAATATACTAAATTATTTGTTTTTTAAGCTCTACAAAATAGTTTGGAAAGAAATTGCAAAATTTTATGTTTTTTGGGTAAAAAATGGGAAAACCCCATTTTTACCCAATAAACCCCCGTTCCCATGGTTCGATCATGCTGGTTCGCGAACTCATTCGAATAAACGTAGGTTTACAAGTTTGTACCAAATTTCATCAAAATCGGATCATTTTTGCTCGAGTTATCGCGCTAACAGACACATATATATATATATAAATATATATATATATAAATATATATATATATATATATATATTTATAAATTTCTTGTGTTTACAACAAGAAAATTAATATTGTTGAAACAAACATGAGAATCATGATAGACAAAATGAGAGATGACCGGTCAGTGGGTTTTGCCCACACCATTTCTGGGGATTTTGCAGATCCCAAACATATGTCTGCTGGAGTTGCTGTTACCTTCAGAAATAAATTTGGAAGACCTCAGTCAAATGACTACATTTCTGACAGATTGACTAAACAATGTGATAATGGAGCAACAATCTTCAGTCTGGTGACAAAGGAAGTGTATTGGGGAAAACCATCGAGGCTGGAGTATGACAATGCATTTATACAGCTGACGGAACAATTCAAATCAAGTGGACTTAAGACTCTTGTGTGTTCTCCGATGGGTTGCGTAAGAGACCTAATCCAACCAGACCATTTCATACAAAACCTTGTCGAATTTCAACGTGCGACTCAGGCCACTATCATCGTTGTTTCATATTTTCAAAGGTCTACCAGAATCCTGAGGAATGGACTCTCGCATAGGGACTTCTTGAGAGCACTGGAAAAATCAGTTGAGAAGTGGACTACTACTCCTAAAACAGAGCAGTCATTGTCAGGTGGTTCTTCTACAAGTCAGCAGCCAACACCGGAAGCTGACACTTCAAGTAACCTCCATCAACAGCCTTTCTCAACAAGATCATCCAGCCCTGTTGGTCAACCACAGTCAACTACACCAGACACCACTATGAGGTCACAGCAGCTATCCTCTCCATCCAGTGTACAACAAAAAAACTTGATGGCAAACCAAATTGTGAGTCCAACTTAGATTTAAAAAAGACGTCTTTCGGTGTTATCTGCAAGAACCATCATATTTCTTTCTTTTCAAATGACTCAGTACACAATACTAATTTTTCATGGCCAGTTTGTAGTGCAGCCAAAACTGATAATAAATTTAATTGGTTAATGCATTTGAATATTGAAGGTGGCATAGTAAACAAAAAGAATGATTTAGAAATAATACTATCTGATTCTAACATTTCAGTGGTTTGCTTGAACGAGCACTGGCTAAAAAATGATAATATTTTAATCTTGAATAGTATTCCTAACTATACTTTAGGACACTTTTATTGCAGGAAGGAAGGAATTCGTGGTGGTTCTTGCATACTATTAAGAGAAAATTTAGTATATAAAGTAAGAAATGATTTATGTGCCTTAAACGAAGATTATGTTTTTGAAATTTCTTGTATTGAAATTGTTACTCTAAATATTATTGTTGTTGCTATTTACAGAACACCTAATGTTGATAACTTTAAACATTTTCTTAGAAAGTTGGAAGGGTTATTAAAACTTCTGGTTAAAGCTACATGTAATAAAAATGTATATATTGCGGCTGACTTTAATGTTGATGTACTGGATACTTCTAGCCACCCACAGAAAAAGTTAGAGTTCATTTCTATTTTGGAGCAATATGGTTTTAAAATAAATTTTTCCTCTCCAACAAGAATTACCAAGTCCACAAAATCCTGTATTGATAATATTTTATCACCAAAAATTAATCATCATCTGTCTGTATCAACAACAATGAATTTAGAATTAGGGATCTCTGATCACAGAGCATTATTTTTAAATATATTTAGTAAAACTGATAAAAATATAATAAATGGTAACAAATGTAAAAAAAGAATTTTCTCAGAAGAAAATACAGCAAAATTTATATATAATGTGAAAGAAACTTTCTGGAATGTATCTGTAAATAATTCTTTTGAAAATAACTGTTTAAATTTCTTTGGCACTTTTCAAAATTTATTTGAAGAGGCATTTCCTATGAAGTTTTATCATACCAAACCGCATAATAAAAAAAAGTCTTGGATAACAACCGGTATTAAAATATCTAGTATTAGAAAAAGGGAACTAAGCAGACTAGTAAAGAAATCAAATGATAATAATTTCATTAATTATGTTAAAAGGTATAAGTTAACTTTCAACAAGGTATGCAATGAAGCTAAAAAATTGTATAATGCTAAATTTATAAAAGAATCATGTAACAAGAGTAAGGCTGCTTGGCTTATCATTAAATCTGAACTTGGTTGTAAAAAAAGTGACTTAAACTTTCCTGATATTAAGGTTAATGACAATCATCTAAAAAATGGCAAGGAAATTTCTGAATTCTTTAATAAAAAATTTAAAAATATCACAAAAGAAATTGGCATAATACCTCATGAAGAGGATGCACTTAAAATGACAAGGCATTCATTGGCAGGAAATCAACCTAACCAATTTGAATTTAGTTTTGTAAGTACAGAAGAAGTTACTAATAATATAAAATCTCTCAAAAGTAAAAAATCTGCGGGCTGGGACGGTATTCCTATCGATCTGATGAAAACTGTCTCTAATTTCATAGCTGAACCTTTATCTATAATTATTAATCAGTCTTTTAAAAAAAAAACTTTTCCAGACCATTTAAAATATGCAGAGCTCAAACCTCTCTTCAAGAAGGGCGAGAGACAAAATCCGGACAATTATCGACCAGTTTCCCTTTTACCATCATTTTCAAAAGTGTTTGAAAAATTAGCATCCAAACAAATCTCAAACTTTCTCGAGATCTCAGATCCCAAAGTTACCGTCTAATATATAAAATTCTCGTGTCACAGTGTTTGTCTGCAAACTCCTCCGGAACGACTTCACCGATCGTTATGAAATTTGGTGTGTAAATTCTGTAGGTATGCGAATCGGACGTAAACTATTTCCCGTTTCAAAATTCTTAAAAGGGCTCCGCCCCAGTGGCTCTGGAGTTTCCCATGTTAACCTTATGAGAAATGGAATTAATGAATCTTAACAGCTGTTTCAATTAAACAAGTTGGTTCTGTTCTATGATGTTCAATAGCATTAAAGTTACAAGGATTACCAACAGGGTGCAGCACTATTATTTCTTTTACATTTATGACAACAGCTAATTTGCAACCAAAAGGTAAGTGAGCGTAGCGAACGAACTTCAACCTGGAGGCGAGTTAGCGTAGCGAACGAGCTAACCTGAAGGCAAGTGAGCGCAGCGAACGAGCTCCAACCCAAAGGTGAGTGAGCGTAGCGAACGAGCTCCAACCTGGAGGTGAGTTAGCGTAGCGAACGAGCTAACCTGAAGGCAAGTGAGCGCAGCGAACGAGCTCCAACCTAAAGGTGAGTGAGCGTAGCGAACGAGCTCCAACCCAAAGGTGAGTGAGCGTAGCGAACGAACTTCAACCAGGACGTGATTGAGCGATGCGAACGAAATCATCTTGAAAATTAAACGTAATGGTACTTAAATTATAAATAGTCAAAGGCAAGACAACGTATGCCGGGTTGGTCTGTCTTAGGGGAAACCTATAACTTAGGCGATACAAAGTTCGCCGGGTCAGCTAGTCTACAGTAGTGAATTTGGCCACAAATCTTGAACCATTTGCGGAACCCGGAACCACATCCATAACCTAGTCCGGCTTTGTTGGCAACATATTATGCAAATGAAATGAGATGTGATGGCACTGTTTTATTTCCTAATGTTTTGTATGTAGTGAGGTTTACATGCGTTGTTCAACCTAGCTTGATGTGTACATCAAAGTAAAAACCCTGTAGATTTTTTTTTAAATACCACCTGAGTTGCTTTTAAATCAACTTCTTCAGCAGCATATACTTATGACACAAAAACCATAGATTTAACATACTCCGTGGTTAGTCTCTGCCAAAACTTGAATACAGCTCACATCTTCAACGTACTACTCTACACTTGCATGGCTTTTATTGTATGACACAATTTTCTACCCGATTATCGAAAACTTTTAAGCTAATAATCTCACAAACCTCTTACGATTTTTCTTGAATGTAATAATAAATGATTATTGAAAGTAGACCAAAAAAAGCAAACGCCAACCAATAAAATAAATATAAGCTAACCCGATAAGGAATAGTTATCTGTTCCTTTGAAATTGATATGTCCCACTGATTTCATAATACAATAATTTCTAAGTGCATTAAAACATAGATTTAAAAAAATAATAATAAAACGTATCATAAATTCATCATTTTATTCAAACTATAAAAAACAGATTCAGTAAATGCTCATTACAATTTTAATATTAACAGCTGTTTCATTAAAAAGAATTGGAAAATTATCCATATGGTCGTACTGTAAACAAATCTGCTGAGGGAACTTTAAAGGCCTCTGGGGCAGAGCCCCAATGAAATTTACATCGTTCCCCTTTTGATAGCTCATTTACAGATCAAGAACTTTAAAGACCCTTACCAAATTTCTACGCCCAGCCGTTCTCTCAAATTAGCTGTCACAAAGAAAAACAGTTTCAAATTAATATAGGCTATAAGATGTGTCAATTTCAAATCAAATTTTTGTGTTAATTCTTAAATTCTCTTATTATGAAAATAAAAAATGTCTCAGCATTTTACAGTCACTAATAATGTTTTTGCTACTTTCTGGTTAATTGCATTCATAAAGATCCATCAGATTTCGGGGTTCCTTGAGAAAAACACGTTACAAAAAATTCACAGATGCACTTACGTTAATGCTAAATAATCCTTCCCAGGAAGCTTATACACATCCATTGAATCCTCATCCTGAGTTGTATCAATTGTCAATGGTAGTATGTGTGGTGGTATTGTAAAAAACTAAGCTTTTGTTTATCAAATGTCTCACCTGTGACCTAAAAGTTTTTAAGCACATCAACTCTTAGGTATTTAAAGCTTACCATATTTATTCACTATTTAAATAACATTAGATTTAACGAGTGCTTAGGTTTGCTGCTACGGGGAAGGTAAAAAGTGTTTTTTGACCATATGTCAATAGTATAGGATGAAATAAATAAATTTGCCAAATTTTATCAACATTATATCCATAAACAAGTAAATTACAACAGTTTTCATTTTCTCCATAAGAATAACATGAGAATTTTAAATTACACTTTTTTTTTAATTTTCTCCGTGACCGTTAGGCATACAACAGCGCTTCAATATACAGAATTATTTCTTTTTTTAAGCTCTACAAAATGGTTGAGAAAGAAATTACAAATTTTTTTGTTTTTAGGGTAAAAAATGGGAAAAACCCATTTTTACCCCATAAGACCCCCATAAACCCCTGTTCCCATGGTCCGATTATGCTGGTTCGCGAACTCGTTCGAATAAACGTAGGTTTACACGTTTGTACCAAATTTCATCAAAATCAGATCATTTTTGCTCAAGTTATCACGCTAACGGACACATATATATATATGAATTTGAACGGATGGTGTTTTTGGCCTCTGGGGACCTCAAAACGAATAAGTAAATCGGTCCCGGGTCTAGGTCTTACCATGAGACCTACGGTAATAGCTTATTCCCTATATGGGATATTCGCTAAAAACAGATTCAGTAAATGCTTATTACAATTTTAATATTAACAGCTGTTTCATTAAAAAGAATTGGAAAATTATCCATATGGCCGTAGTGTAAACAAATCTGCTGAGGGAACTTTAAAGGCCTCTGGAGCAGAGCCCCAATTAAATTTACATCGTTCCTCTTTTGATAGCTCATCTACAGATCAAGAACTTTCTTAAAAGACCCTTACCAAATTTCTACTCCCAGCCGTTCTCTCAAATTAGCTGTCACAAAGAAAAACAGTTTCAAATTAATATATAGGCTATAGATGTGTTAATTTCAAATCGAATTTTTGTGTTAATTCTTAAATTCTCTTATTATGAAAATAAAAAATGTCTCAGCATTTTACAGTCACTAAAAATGTTTTTGCTACTTTCTGGTTAATTGCATTCATAAAGATCCATCAGATTTCGGGGTTCCTTGAGAAAAACACGTTACAAAAAATTCACAGATGCACTTACGTTAATGCTAAATAATCCTTCCCAGGAAGCTTATACACATCCATTGAATCCTCATCCTGAGTTGTATCAATTGTCAATGGTAGTATGTGTGGTGGTATTGTAAAAAACTAAGCTTTTGTTTATCAAATGTCTCACCTGTGACCTAAAAGTTTTTAAGCACATCAACACTTGGGTATTTAAAGCTTACCAAGCCGTTTAAAAATCTACAACATTGTATCAGTCATTTATTTGCCAAGCAGCTTCTTTTTCGAATGGATCCTCTTTTCCTTAAATTGTTGTTTTCTACTTGAGAATTGTATTTTGGCTGGAAAATATATCATGACCTCAAAGATATAAAAAAAAATCAAACATATATAAAAAAAAGGCTGCCGGGATAGGCATGACCTTTTGCACACATTTGTAGTAGGCAAAAATATGGTGTTTACTGTCCAATGCTCCATGGCTAATAAAACGGCATAATATACAGCATTGAATGACACCGCTCTCTACTCGTGATAAAAACTACCTACAATAACTATTGTGCACATACTATCAGCTTAAAAATTGTTCGATTCGTTGGTCATTCTGTATAACGCTTAGTTTCTTATAAGACATTTATGTATTAATAAAATATTCTTTAGGCTTTTTTATGTAGCCTACATATTATTCAGGGTGGATTAGAACTCTGTACTACTATCAATATTCTTTATGTGGAGCGGTGACTTTTTGTAAACATTTGGGCCTGAGATAAATGAAATTTCTTTAATCAATGGGTTTCAGGCTTAATATAACTCTTAAGTCAAGTGTGATGGGAATGAAAGGGTTGGGTCATGAATGAGGACAGATTTTCTTTAACCCAATTTGAAATTTCTTAAACATAGTGATCATAAAATGTTAAAACTGAAAATGTTTGAAAAATATTTTTACATGGAGTTTTACAACAGAACAATTTAATAAAATGTCAAGGTACTTTCCAGAGCTATTATCTTATTATTTTGTATTGCCTTGTTTTAGAACACCCACTAATGTTAAGCTTTTGTTAATCGTTCAATTTTATGTACAATTTTATAAAAATAAATGTTATTTTTTGGGGGGTTGAACTATCCACACTTTTAGTACCTAGACTGGCTTTTGCAGCATTTCAGTAAAACACAAGAACTGTACAGGTTTAAAAAAATGTAGCATATTATGTAGTGTAGATTTATCAAATATTTGTACTGTATTATATTTTTAATGAAAATTAGAGATTGATTAATGCATTGAATTCATATTAAATCTTGAATTAGGATAAACCTACAATATTAATTAGATTTCTCACATGAACCAACTGATAATTTAATGTTTTGTATGTTTGTTAATTTTCATACGAATATTGAAAATAAAAAGGTATCGACTGCTTCAGTGTTTGACTTCATTTAGTACTATACTTGAACTGTAATCCACCTATCTAGTGATAATCCCTCTTCTTAATCACACACCATTCACCCAGTTTTTATTCCTTAGAAAATGTAAGCTTAGCAAGAAAAGCCTATTAAAAAAAAAGAAAAACCTTTTAAGTGGAAAGAGGAGCCTATTTATCATATGGTTTTGAATGAACCAATGAGAACCGTGCGGTGTTGCCAAATCTAATAATATCAGCTGATTTGAAAATATTGCTTGGTATATTTTAATTAGTGTTGTCAACGGACGATGTGGCAACGTCGCACTAGCCTTGTCTTGTGATTGGCTGCCACCAACTGCAAACTTACGTGGTTCCGACTTTAAATATATTGAAATGACATTAGGTTTAATGAGTACCAAGGTTTGCTGTTACAAGGATGTGAGGTTTTTGGTAAAATATTATTAGTTTATTATAAAATAAATAAATTTGCCAAGTTTGATCAAAATATATCCATAAACAAGCAAATTAAAAAAATATATATATTTGCAATATTCTCCATAAGAATAACGTGGAAATTTTAAATTTACAATTTTTTAAATTGTTCTCTGTTACCAATAACCGTACAAAAACACAAATTTATATATTAAATTATTTGTTTTTTTTAAGCTCTTTATAAAGGTCTAGAGAAAAATTGGGACATTTTTTGTTTTGAGGGTCAAAAATGAGAAAACCATATTTTACCCCATAAAACACCCCGTAAAACCCCGTTCCCATGGTCCTATCATGCTGGTTCTCAAACTCATTCAAGTTTATCCCGCCTTACACCTTAAAAACCAAATTTTATCAAAATCGATCTAAAATACTCAAGTTAGTTCACGGACATATATATATGTATATGTATAAATATATATATAAATATCAATATATATATATATATATATATATATATATATATATATATATATATATATATAAATGTTTGGCCTCTGGGGACATAAAAATGAAAAAGTAAATAGGTTCCGAGTCTAAGTCTTACCGTGCCACCCTATAGGGAAATTCGCTAAGAAAAGTAGTGGGGGGACTTTCTCTTAAACTGTATAAATTTTAATTTTGTGAACGGAATAAAGGTGATCTGTTTTACCCAAATTTTTGTTCAAATCCTTGACTTCCTAAATTATCTGGACAAATTTGGCAATAAATCTAACATATGAACCAACTCCTGGTGAATATTTTATTGACACCTTATCAAGCTTATTTAGATTACATAAATTTTAATTGCTTTTATGATTCTAAATTTGAACAGAAAATTTAAGTGTTTACAACAACTGTATATATTTAATAAATTATGGTTTTTTTCAGGATAAGCAAAATATTTTAAGAGAAAAGGAACTTCAATTCATGTCACAAAAAAGATAATTTAAAAATCAGATTTCATAATTTAAACAGCAGTTAAAATATTCAGTTTTTACCTCACAAAAAGTACTAATTAAAGTAAGTAATTCACTATGTAAAATTTGAATTTAAATTATAATGAACATTTATATAGCTGATTCAATATTGTTTGAAAACAAAATGGAAAATAAGCCACGATTTCTTAAGGAGGCTTATTTAACATGATGGAACATAAAGTCAAGACAAAAAGACAAAATGCCTTGAGTAAGCTATGTGGTATGATATTTAATACATCGAAAATAGCATACAAAGCCAACTGAATAATTAGTTACTAGCTCGCCTGATGTTAGAAATCAGAAATATAAAAACAAAAAATGTTTAATATCACTAAAAAGCCTCTCCTTAACTGTCCAATATGTAGAAAAATGTTTTCAACTCTATGGAATATGAAGTATCATGTATATTTACACACAGGTGAGCATCCCTTTAGATGTTTGACATGTGAGAAAACATTTATTAGAAAATCTCAGGTAAAAAATCATATGTTAATACATTCTGGGAAGTATCCTTACAAGTGCACTATATGTGAAAAATTCTTCAAAACCAAGCAAGAAGTTAAGGTTCATACATTTGTTCACACGGTAGAGCGACCTCATGAGTGTACTACATGTGGAAAACCCTACAAAACTAAGGAAGGAATGAAGATTCATACATTGCTTCACACGGGAGAGCGACCTCATATGTGCCCTACATGTGGAAAATCCTACAAAACCAGCAGCGATATGAAGAGACATACATTGGTTCACACAGGAGAGCGACCTCATAAGTGCCCTACATGTGGAAAATCCTACAAAACCAGCAGCAATATGAAGAGACATAAATTGGTTCACTCAGGGGAGCGACCTCATAAGTGCTCTACATGTGGAAAATCCTTCAAATCTAAGGTTGATATGAAGAAACATACATTGGTTCACATTAGTGAGCGACCTCATAAGTGCACTACATGTGGAAAATCCTTCAAAACCAGCAGCAATATGAAGAGACATACATTATTTCATACTGAAGAAACCTCATAAGCGCACTAAATCTGGCAGATACATCACAAATAGTTGCATTATGATGTTTCATACATTAATTAATTATCTTTTGATTTCAAATCAAATATTTGTGCTAATTCTTCTTAAATTCTCCTATTATGAAAATAAAAAAATTTCTCAGCATTTCACAGTCATTAAACTGTTTCTGCCACTTTCTGGTTAACGGCGTCCTTAAAGATCCATCAGATTTTGGGGTTCCTTGAGGAAAACACGTCACAAAACATTTACACATGCACATATCTCGTGACATTGGGTCTACAGAATATCACGTTAACGCAAAATAATCCTTCCCAGAAACGCAATACACATCCATTGAATCCTAATCATGTGTAGGAATTGTCAATGGTAGTATGTGTAGTGGAACTTAATGTAAATAAACCAAGCTATTGTTAATCAAATGTCTCACCTGTGACCTAAAATTGTTTAAGCACATCAACACTTGGGTATTTAAAGCTTGCCAAGCCGTTTAAAAATCTGCAACGTTGTATCAGTCATGTATTTGCCAAGCAGCTTCTTTTTTCAAATGGATCCTCTTTTCCTTAAATTGTTTTCTACTTGAGAATTGTATTTTGGCTGGAAAATATATCTTAACGTCAAAGATATAAAAAAAATCAAATATATAAAAAAAGGCTGCCAAGATAGGCATGAACTTTTGAACACACTTGTTTTATAATAAACACTATAAAATATGGTGTTTACTGTCCAATGCTCCATGGCTAATTAAACAGCATAATATACAGCATTGAATGATACCCCTCCCTACTCGTGACAATAACTACCTACAATAACTATCGTGCACATACTATCAGCTTAAAAATTGTTTGATTCGTTGGTCATTCTGTATAACGCTTAGTTTCTTATAAGACATTTATGTATTATAAAATATTCTTTAGGCTTTTTTATGTAGCCTACATATTATTCAGGGTGGATTAGAACTCTGTACTACTATCAATATTCTTTATGTGGAGCGGTGACTTTTTGTAAACATTTGGGCCTATATATTGGGGAGATAAATGAAATTTCTTTAATCTATGGGTTTCAGGCTTAATATAACTCTTAAGTCAAGTGTGATGGGAATGAAAGGGTTGGGTCATGAATGAGGACAGATTTTTTTTACCCAATTTGAAATAGTGATCATAAAATGTTAAAACTGAAAATGTTTGAAAAATATTTTTACATGGAGTTTTACAACAGAACACTTAAATAAAATGTCAAGGTACTTTCTAGAGCTATTATCTTATTATTGTGTATTGCCTTGATCTAGAAAACCCACTTTTGTTAATCATTCAATTATATGTACAATTTTATAAAAATAAATGTTATTTTTTTGGGGGGTTGAACTATCCACACTTTTAGTACCTAGACTGGCTTTTTCAGCATTTCAGTAAAACACAAGAACTGTACAGGATAAAAAAAATTTAGCATTATGTAGTGTAGATTTATTAAATATTTGTACTGTATTATATTTTTAATGAAAATTAGAGATTGATTAATGCATTGAATTCATATTAAATCTTGAATTAGGATAAACCTACAATATTAATTACATTTCTCACATGAACAAACTGATAAATTAATTTTTTGTATGTTTGTTAATTTTCATACGAATATTGAAAATAAAAAGGTATTAACTGCTTCAGTGTTTGACTTCATTTAGTACTCTACTTGAACTGTAATCCACCTATCTAGTGATAATCCCTCTTCTTAACCATACACCATTCACCCAGTTTTAATTCCTTAGATAATGTACGCTTAGCTCAACAAAATCAGGAATTAATACATGAGCAATGTTTTATTGCATTACGCTATTGTTTATCATATTCTGTACATAAATAAGACAAATTATATTATTATGTGTTAGGGGGAGGGCAGTTCAGAAAGAAACAGACGTTTAGCATTGGCGCTGCTTGGAACGGTGCTAACACCGCTATTTTAGTATCAGAACGTTTGAATCCAGCTACGCTAGCATGCACATAGGCCCTAATATCTCTCGTACTTTGTGTGCAATGGAGTGTTAAAATGATTGATTTCATTGCAATTTCCCGTAGTTTTTGTGGAGCTCCGTGTAGATTTTTGTTTGCAAAAGTTTATAAGTCAATTGAAAATAATTCCCAGACATGGAATTTTTATGGCAAAGGAATGATGAGTGAAGTTTCCACTTTTCTCGTAATCTTCAAAGAACCAAGGTTTGTAAGCTTGGTGTGATTGATATGCTTGTGAATATCACAGACTAATAGTTATCATAACTTTAATATTGTTAGTACTAGCTAGTAAAATATAGCTTAGTTAATTATAGCTATAACTATAGTGCGTTCAGAAAGTTTAGGCGGATATTGGAGAATAAATCTGGGATATAACCGTTACTATTTTGTGAACACATAAAACTTCCTATAAAATAACAAGCTCAACAGCTGAGGTTTACTAAAACATAAACCATCTGTGCTAAATATATTAAGAAATACCCCCGCCGCAGCAAACCTGCCGACTGAGCAAATTACCATTTGTCTGAATTGATTTTCAATTACAGCCGGGACCTTGTAAGTATGCAGTTGAGGGAGGAGCCTATTTACCATATGGTTTTGAATGAACCAATGAAAACGGTGCGGTGTTGCAAAATCTAATAATATCAGCTGATTTGAAAATATTGCTTGGTATATTTTAATTAGTGTTGTCAACAGGCGATGTGGCAACGTCGCACTAGCCTTGTCTTGTGATTGGCTGCCACCAACTGCAAACTTACGTGGTTCCGACTTTAAATATATTTAAATAAAATTAGGTTTAATGAGTACCTAGGTTTGCTGCTACAAAGAAGTGTGTTTTTTTGGTAAAATATTAGTAGCTTATTATAAAATAAATAAATTTGCCAAGTTTGATTAAAATATATCCATAAACAAGCAAATTAAAACATTTTACAATATTCTCCTTAAGAAAAACATGGAAATTTTAAATTTACAATTTTTTAAATTTTTCTCTGTTATCAATAACCGTACAAAAACACTTTATATACTAAATTATTTCTTTTTTAAGCTCTTTAAAAAGGTCTAGAGAGAAATTGGTAATTTTTTTGTTTTGAGGGCCAAAAATGAGAAAACCATATTTTACCCCATAAAACGCCCCGTAAAACCCCGTTCCCATGGTCCTATCATGCTGGTTCTCGAACTCATTCAAGTTTATCCCGCCTTACACCTTAAAAACCAAATTTTATCAAAATCGATCTAAAATACTCAAGTTAGTTCACGGACATATATATACCGTATGTATATGTATAAATCTATATATATCAGTTAACTGTGATCATGGCCTAAGAGCAGAAACATGTAAGTTTATTCAATAAATTAATAACTTAAAAAAATAAAAAAAGGGTACTAAATGTTTAATTATTTATTTCATTTATTAATCTATATATATAAAAGGCAAAGCCCTCACTGACTGACTGACTGACTGGCTGACTGACTGACTCACTCACTCACTCATCACTAATTCTCCCACTTCCCACTTACCTAGGAGGCTGAAATTTGGTACACTGATTCTTTAGGCATTAAATAGGAAAACTAAGTGGTTTTCATTCTGATCGGACTCTCGGGCTCCGCCCCAGTGGCTCTGGAGTTTCCCATTTTAACCTTATGGTTTTTCATATTTAATAGGAATTAATGAATCTTAACAGCTGTTTAAATTAAACAAGTTAGTTCTGTTCTATGATGTTCAATAGCATTAAAGTTACAAGGATTACCAACAGGGTGCAGCACTATTATTTCTTTTACATTTTATGGACAACAGCTAATTTGCAACCAAAAGGTGAGTGAGCGTAGCGAACGAACTTCAACCTGGAGGCGAGTTAGCGTAGCGAACGAGCTAACCTGAAGGCAAGTGAGCGCAGCGAACGAGCTCCAACCTAAATGCCATTGAGGACGTGATTGAGCCATGCGAACGAGCTCACTTATAAAGTTAAACGGGGCAAAGCCCGCGGGTACAGCTAGTCTATACTTATAAAAGGCAAAGCCCTCACTGACTCACTGACACACTCACTCACTCATCACTAATTCTCCCACTTCCCATTTACCTAGGAGGCTATAAAATTCGGTACACGGATTCTTTGGGCATTAAATAGGAAAACAAGGTAGTTTTTATTCTGATCGGGCTTTCGGGCTCCGCCCCAGTGGCTCTGGAGTTTCCCATGTTAACCTTATGATTTTTCATATTTAAAAGGAGTTAATGAATCTTAACAGCTGTTTCAATGAAACAAGTTGGTTCTGTTCTATGATGTTCAATAGCTAAATTTGAGCAGAAAATTTAAATGTTTACAACAACTGTATATATATTTAATAAATTATGGTTTTTTTTCAGGATAGGCAAAAGATTTGAAGAGAAAAGGAACTTCAATTCATGTCACAAAAAAGATAATTTAAAAATCGGATTTAATAATTTAAACAGCATCAGCTAAAATATAGTTTTTACCTCTCAAAAAGTACTAATTAAAGTAAGTAATTCACTATGTAAAACTTGAATTTGATAACATTTATATAGCTGATTCAATATTGTTTGAAAACAAAATGGAAAATAAGCCACGATTTCTTAAGGAGGCTAATTTAACATGATGGAACATAAAGTCAAGACAGAAAGACAAAATGCCTTGAGTAAGCCGTGTGGTGTGATATTTAATACATTGAAAATAGCATACAAAGCCAACTGAATAGTTCCAATTAGTTACTAGCTCGCCTGATGCTAGAAATCAGAATATAAAACAAAAAATGTTTAATATCACTAAAATGCCTCTCCTTAACTGTCCAATATGTAGAAAAATGTTTTCAAATCCAAGGAATATGAAGTATCATATATATTTACACACAGGTGAACGTCCCTTTAGATGTTTGACATGTGAGAAAACATTTATTAGAAAATCTCAGGTAAAAAATCATTTGTTTACACATTCTGGGAAGTATCCTTACAATTGCACTACTTGTGGAAAATCCTTCAAAACTAGCAGCGAGATGAAGATTCATACATTGGTTCACACGACAGAGCGACCTTATAAGTGCACTACTTGTGGAAAATCCTTCAAAAGAAAGAAAAATATGAAGCAACATACATTGGTTCACACAGGAGAGCGACCTTACAAGTGCATTACTTGTGGAAAATCCTTCAAAACTAGCAGCGAGATGAAGATTCATACATTGGTTCACACGACAGAGCGACCTTATAAGTGCACTACTTGTGGAAAATCCTTCAAAACCAGCAGAAATATGAAGAGACATACATTGGTTCACACGGGAGAGCGACCTCATAAGTGCACTACATGTGGAAAATCCTTCCAAACCAGCAGAATGTGAATTAGCAATAATATTCACGCCCATTTTCAGGGTGTAAAATATTCATTTTTTGTCGTCAAAGTGCTTAAAATAACGACTTTACAAGTATAATTTTACATAAATTTTCCGAGTACCCCCCAGACCCCTCGGTGAGCTTAGTTAAACAAGGCCTAGCAATTATGTATTGCCCCAGGCCTCGCATTTTATAAAGACGGCTCTGAATGGAAAGTGGGTAAGGGTCTTATGATCTTTGAAGCGGGGAGCGCAGGGAGAGGCAGAGTCGGGTAGTAAATGGTGGTCGATGGATTAGGACCCTTGTACACTTCTTCGATTATCTGCGCAATCGGGCGTCAGCCATGGGAGGGGTTTTTATGGGGTAAAAAATAGTTTTTCTCAATTTTTGACCCTCAAAAACATCAACATCAAATTTCCCAATTTATCTCTATTTTTATAAAGGGCATAAAAACAAATAACTTAGCATATCAAAGTTTGTCTGTATATTTATTAAAAATGAAAAAATTTTAAAACCTTATGTTTTTTGTTAAAGTTTTTGTTACTTGCCCTACTTCAATTGAGAAAAATCGCAAATGGATTATTTACCTCTTATTATCACAATGGTAAAGTTAATAATAAGGTTATGTCAATGGTAATAAGGTGAAAAAGACACTCCAATACGTACAAAATGTGTTAATGACAAATTATAACACTTTAAAATATTAAGAACTTAAAGATGCTTCAATTTACAATGGAATCATTACAGAATTACGACAACCCTCCTGCAACTACCACACTACAAAAAATACAATTACTTTATAGATACAATGAATCGATCACAAGTAACTGCTACATTACAGTGTAGCTCAAGGAGGTGTGGTCAAACTTTACAATTATATACACAGTGATGTGCTAATAGTTTTTAGTTTGTCGCACATAGTTTTGCCAAATACTGTACGTGAATGCCGCAACTATGTTTATAGTTGAGATAAAAACTTAGTCTATGAGACTTATACAAGTTCACGGCACTAATAGGGCGATGTTGATTTCTTTGACCATCTTGACTCTGTTGAGCATCTTCTCCAACGGCTCTCGCTGTAGAGCCATAGTGGAGTACCAAACTGGACTGTCCGGAACACAAGAACGCTCGGGCTGTAGGTAGAACACATCGTTACGATTCTTCACACTTTCAGGACTGAAACAATATATGAATTTTAATTCGTCATATGTTGAATAAATTGTAGTTTGAAAGTGTAATTTTTCAAGGCGATAAGACTCTTTGAAAGAGGCGAGCAGTAGAAGCAGCTTAGAAGGAGAGAAAGTGGGAGGAAAATAAATACTACCATATTTCATACTTTATTACTCAATTAATTTTAGTTAAACAACAGATGGAATTCACCCAGGGGATACTACTTTACATTTAGCTTGGTTCAAACCATTTACCTAATAGCTTGTAGATTATGAATAAAACATATATTTACCATTTAGACAAGTAAAACTCGTAAAGTTTTACAGGACATCTGAGAGGGTTTTCTTCATCCTCTTGCTGTTCATAAACCTTCTTCTTTCTCAGTTTTGGATCGTCTGAAAAAAAAATTTGCTTTGTCACTTTTAGTTAAATAACCGTTAAGTTTAACTTTCCTATACCACAAAATGTCTATTTTGAATCAAATTATAAATTATCAGCCATAATATTCAACAAGTCTATAGACAGTTTTTGAATGAAATCATTTAGACTAAAGAGAAAATGTCACATGTATATCTGACATCTGAATAATTACCAATTAGGGATTATACAAAGAAAAACATATCAGATGTAACAGCAGTTTGGTAAATTAACAATAAATATTTGACAAAAGGGACTATAATAAAAAAGTCCAAACATTTATCTATTTTAACTTAACCTCCAAGTTATTTTACCTTCAAATTCAGGATAACAATCTGCATTTGTTACAATCACCACTAATATTTGCCATACTTTATGGCACCTAGGTAATAAAAATTAATGGTAAAAAAACTGTGTTGACCAACTTTTCACTCGACTTTCAAAGCTTATGTTTCAAATCTGAGATATTAAGTTTATGCTTTGAGTGTTGTTACAACAAGAAATTCAATCCCTAAATTGATGCCAGTTTTTGAATAAAATTGTACGTAGTTGAGTTTACCAATGAGTGCCTGGGGAGGGTAGAACCTGAGCAGTACATTGCGAGAGCCTGGCGGTCTACCACCTGGCGCTCCTGACTGGTTCTGGTTCCTCTTCCAGTGCTTCATGATGTGGGAGAACGACAACAGCAGGTGCTCATCTACGCTCTGGAACAGACAACACAACTTGTCTACATTTTTCAAAGGACTTTTTCCAGAAATAGAGTTTAGGTAGCTATATTTCTCTTGATGAAAACAAGAGTCCAGGAGCTAATAGATACGCAATAATACAAAACACAACACTGGTATTTCAAATAATGGCTAAACATACCTCGTCAGACAATCCTTGACATGTAGTATCAAATGTGCTACATATGTTTTGGCGGTTATTTAAATTCCACAAAAGGGAATTTGCTTCTAGGCCTACTGTCTAAATGGTGGCATATATTTTAAGTTTTGAAAAAAAAACTGTACTGTATTACTATAGATTTGGAAAGCATCAATTAATATTAATGACAGTATCTAAGTTATTAAGAGAAATCAAATCATTATCAAAGAATTTTTATTGACTCTTGCCTACAACTATAATTTATTCCAAGAAAGTATTTGACTTAACCGTGTTTTGTGTTTTTTATGACTTTTCTATCAATACGAAAAAAGGAGAAGAGTTTAGGCTCGTTTATTTAGTAAATAATGCAAGTAAAGTTTCAAAATAATATTATATGTATAATTCTAAATGAATAGCACATCATTTTTTATGTTTCTGGGATTACCCGTTTCAACTGACATTTTCAGCTATCGAACTTAGGTCCGGTCAAGAGGGGGTCTACTATAGCCAAACAATAGTGATAGGAGTATAAACTACCAATGACATGTATTGAGATATGCCTATATACACTATAACGATCAAATATATTAGGAGGCTACAAACGACACTATATACAGATCTAGAGACTTAACAACATGAAATGTACGCCACTGATGAGCGTCTTAACAGCTACTGCACAATGTCAGGTACATAACTACTAGCCACTGCTGTTGCTTGCCACCCTTAGTTTCTACGTGTTCCACTGATGTGTTCTACTCACAGTGAGGTTGAAGTGCTTGGTGTTGAAGAACATGAGTGTACTGAGCAGTACGTGTGGAGAGTGAGCTCCTAACTGTTTGCTTTCCCACAGATGTTCCTCTTCTACTCTGGTAACAATGTAGTCTGCAAACAAAAAAAAAGGTATACAAAGGAATGTATATTTTCCAAACTGGCAAACTGGCATGTATAGTCCAAACTAGCAAAAGAAACACTAAACATAAGAATATTTCACTGTCATTGACAGAGTTTTCAACTAAGAAAGATGATTGACAGTTTGGCCAGGTGGCTCACTAAGCGAAGTTCGAACTAGCAAATTATTAACAAAATCAGACACAAAGTGCACCGACCAGCCCCTACACTAAAATTACAGAAATCCAAATTCGCTCAACACATTATTGACAATTACCATGATTACTGGATATTATAAATGATGGTTTCAACCTTCTACATTACTGCGGGAAAGGAAATTTATTAAATACTTTGGAAGAATTTGAAATATACAAAGACATAAAAACTAGGGACAGCAAACAAATGTTGAAAGAAAAACTCAATTGTGAATCATCAAATATATTTTCAACACTCTCGTCCCTCACTACAATAGTCCAATATCAGCTGTTGATATTCCAGAGGACAATCCAGTGTCCACGTCAGTCCATCATAGCCTAGTTCAGTCTACTTCCAGTCCTGTCTGCGACAATGTATAGTAGGACACAAAATTAAAGTCCCATGTCTGCAGGTAGAGTGGACCCGTCCTAATCCTGCTTGTCAAAACAACACTATTGTTGGGAGCTTGGCTATTAAACCTGCTTTGGCTCTGGATTTTCCCAATGCGTCCGGCCAGAGCAGGTTCATACACCGAGACTAACTCCTTGACCTGATAACTCGGTAACAGGAAATCGTAGAGCGTTCACTCAAAATAGTTTTTATTCCTCTTTCTCAGACAGACAAAATGATCCTTCGCATGATGCTCCAAGTTTTATGGTTCAATTTATGCAAATTGTAGTAGGACGCAGAATTTCCACAAACAGCGAGGGGAGGGCGGTTTTCCCGGCCCGCCAGCATCGGCCGAGCTCCCAACAATAGTGTTGTTTTGACAAGCAGGATTATGACGGGTCCACTCTACCTGCAGACATGGGACTTTAATTTTGTGTCCTACTATACAATGTAGTTGATGTGCCTATACGTAATCGTTTTGTGTTTTGTGTAAATGTTTGTGACTCATAATGACAACCGCTCTAGAAGTGAATGTTTTTGTAAGCCTGACAATAGCAGAGCTAAGGAACTGCCAATACATATTTAGTTTTAAAATACGACACTAAAGTACATGTTAAGGATTGTCAGACATGGTACGTTTTTTATCATTATTAGTCATAAAACGCAATCCTGGGGATATAAAAATGAATTATAATTAATAAATTAGTAATTTTTTAATAAAGATAATCAAAATCAACAAACACAAATACTTACGGTGATCACTAAACAGCTCAGAAAACTTTTTGGCAACCTCATCCAAAGCATCTGTGAAAGTTTCAAAGTACGGGTCGGTAAAGATATTATCGATGCGGCCGCTCTCAAACAAAAACTGTTGTATGCCTAGACACAGGTAGTAGATAGTGTCCGGGGCGTAAGATGTTCCGTTGGGTTTCTTCACCTGAAATTCAATCAGTAGTGACACATTTTGCAAAACCAGTTCTCTAAGAGAATCAATAGATGTAGCTCCAATAGTCCATAGAAATTTGAGATCTTTGTCGTTTTTAAAGAAAAACATTCAGCTCAGGTATACATAACAAGGAAGAAGAACTGGGTGCACAACTAATTCACCTATGGAAAAATATCCAGACTTTTGAGAGCATATAAAGAACTGCACCCCCACACACATTGACCCCCCCCCCCCCCCAAACCCAATTTTAGAGGGAACATCACAAAACCGCAAACTTGTTTAAATATTTATCCATTTAAAAATCTGAGCATTGGTAATACAGACAATTCATAAATTTGTAGAAGTGCCATTTATCTAGTTCCTTACAAGGCTTAAAAGAGCAAAACATCAAGAATATAGATAATTTTTTGGTAAAATAAAATGACTGGATCTCTTTTCTCAGGTGAGTTTGTGGCATATCCTTTTCTTCACCTTCATGAAATCACGATTGAAAAAAAAGTTGTAGGTAAAACGTTCAACCGGTATTTCTT